CTTGAAATTAGAAAACTATCCAGTGGATCAGTGTTTCCCAAACTTGGAAACCCGCTTGTGTAGGGAAAGCCCCTGGTGGGCTGGGCCAGTTTGTTTACCTGCCCCGTCCACAGGTCCGGCCGATCGCGGCTCCCACTGGCCGCGGTTCGCTGCTCCAGGCCAATGGGAGCTGCTGGAAGCAGTGGCCAGTATGTCCCTCGGCCCGCGCCGCTTCCAGCAGCTCCCATTGGCCTGGAGCCGCGATCGGCCGGACCTGCGGATGGGACAGGTAAACAAACCGGTCCGGCCCGACAGGGCTTTCCCTACACAAGCAGTGTCCCAAGTTTGGGAACCACTGCAGTGGATGAAAAACACCCGCAGGCCACTCTGCTCAGTACCCAGTATCTGGATGGGCAAAACGGTTTGGATACGTGGCACTTGACTCTCCACAGAGATTGTGGCCTGGAATTTTCTTCCCATAAAATCAGGCTTTGCCAGCTTGCCCCTCTACCTCTCAATACGTTTGCTTTCATCCCAAAGTCCTTGGAATAACATTCCCTCCCCAGTAATCTGAAGAATCTGGAAGTCACAAAAATTAATTTGAAAAGCTGCAGTTGTTCACCATCCCCCCGGACGGAATCGTCTTTCAGTAGCTGGAGTGTTGAAGTAGCATTTGTACATACAGTAGCCTTTTCTGGAAGGAAATAGATGAAATTCCAAATACCTTTGCCTCTTAATAGTAGTTTTAAATGACTGACTTCCTGCACGAGGGTCTGTCTTGCTTTTACAACTGGGTTATTTTATGGAGGAGTTTTCTTCACTGGTGCTGTCCTGATGCACACAACCCTTCCATTAATTTCAGTGGGATATGAAAGGGAAACAGGTTTGGACCCTTAGGGTATGTGTACATTGCACGCTGAGCCTGGACTCTTACTCAGGTTTGAGCCCAAGCCCCCTCTCCATCCACACACAAATCAGTCTGACTTAGGTCAGCAAACACCCAGGCCCTAGGACCCTGCTGGGGGCTAGGGATTGGAGCCTGAGTCTCTCTGGGCACGTCTACACGGGGATAAAAGACCCATGGCACAGCTGTGGTTGGCCCGAGTCAACTGACTCAGGCTCACTGGGCTTGGTCTGCAGGACTAAAAATTGCTGTGTAGACGTTTGGGCTCGACCCAAACTCTGGGACCCTCCCTTGTTGCAGGTTCCCAGAGCGCAAGCTCCAGCCCAAACCCAAACATCTACTCAGCAATTTTTCATCCCCAGAGTTCTTACCTCAATGAGCCTGAGGGCTGAACCAGGCCAGCCTTGGGTCTTTTATCCCTGTGTAGATATACTTTCTGAGACTCGGGTTCAGGCCCTGTCATTCTGCAGTGTGGACACAGGTCAGGCTGCAGACCCGAGTCAGAAGGTCTGCATGGTGCAGTATGGATGCGTTAGCACGGCTCTGAGACCCAGGTCCCAGGCCTACCATGCAACATGGAGGCTCAAGCATGGGCTTGGAAACACCGGGTCCCACAGACCCAGACTTAGTGTGCGGCATAGGCATAGCCTCAGAGCTGTGGGGTATTTGTTGACTGATGGAGGCCCTGTTGATTTGTGGTTAACCCGTACAAGGGCCTGATGCTAATCCCATCAATGTCAAGGGAAGGACTTTGATGGGCTTTAGATCAGGCCCCAAATTAATAAACTGAGTCCCTGTATCCAGCCCTGGTGTATTGTGCCCAGACATGAGAGTATATACATCAGCCTGGGCACAATATTAGAGCTCAGTGAGAGATTTCACCTAGTAAACCTACAGGGCTTTAGGCTGTGGCTAAAACAGCACTTTTCTGTCCATCCAAAAGGATGCTTGTGTTCAAAAGGCATATAGGCACACCCAGGCAGGTGGAAATTTAGCCCTCACAGGACTGTCAAAGGTCTAGCCCTGCACAGCATTCGCACACATGCGCACCTCACAAAGATGTTTGAAAAGGGTTTTTGGTGTACCAGGCTATTTTATCACCTTTACAGCTTGACCTGCTTCCATCAAGACCAAGAGTTGCCAAGGCATCATTTGCCTTAGCTCCCTACGTTGCAGGGCTGAGAGCAGACAGGACATCCGGCTAGATGCTGAACATAAGCTTGATGTAGATGGAATGGAGGAAATGTCTGGAAGCTACTTTTCTGTTTCCCTGATGCTGGGTCTGCCAGGGCCAAAATGGCCTCTGAAATAATTTAGAGCAGCCTACGGGCAACTCTAAATTGTGCTAGCTGGAATGGTCCTATAGGGGTCACGCACCTGGCTGAGGATTGGGCAGAACATAGTCCACTCCATCTCCTCCTGCCCCCGACACACCTTGACCCCTCCTTTATGATTCAACTCTAAGAGTTGGGTTAAAGAATCCATCCAACATCTTCCTTATGGAAGCCCACATAAACTAAAAATATATATATTCTTTGACGCTTGCAAATCTTCAAACATGTTTCAGGAGCTCATAACCAACGCAGAGATTTTGTTTCCTTTTTACCCAAGAAAGGTTTAGGAAATTATTTAGGAAAACTTAAAAAATAGTAGGCAAAAATTGTGTTGCAGCACTTAGAAGGAAAGGTGAGAGTTAAATGAAAGATGAGTGCTCTGAAATGGTTGGAGCGCTGAATATATTTCACTATTTACTGATTTCAGCAAGAATTTCTTGGACCCAACTGCTGAACTGTCAGACTTCAATCAGGTGCAAGATGGGCAGCCTAGATAATAATGTACAAGTCTTGTCTCATAAACCAGGAGTCTGTTTAAAGCCAGCAGTGTTTTGATTCTTTTTCACTCTACAGCTGCCAATTTTAATAGCTTTGAAAGTGTAACACAGCAAGTCTGCAAGCTTCAAGGAGAGAAAGGAAAGCATGAGATTAGTTTATGGCTGGTTTGCAAGCCTCAGACAATCAAAGGGGATCAAATAGCTATTCTGTTCTATCCAGTTCTTATATTGTGCTTGCTGCTTTGGTATCCGAGTGTCTAGATTTATCTAATCTACCGGCATCAATACTCTTTCAAAGGTTACAAAATGAGTGCTTAGACTTGAATGTAATCTTTATAATGATGTAGTTGCTTTGAGTGGAGGAAACATTAATTTCCAAAATCCCAAATGACAGAAGATTGCTTTCTAGAACAGTTTCATTACTAATGCTATTTTAAAGTTTACATATATATTTTAAATGTAAAGCACATTACAGTTTATTTATATACACATACGTATATAAATAAATGTAATGATGCTGTACATCTAAAACGTAACTTGTATTACTAATAACATATTAGATTATTATTGAAGTAATTATATGCATCTGATTGACTGTTCACTAATTATCCTCTCTGTTTACTGTTTGCACTTCACTCAGCTTGAACAAGAAAAATGGGCTAGTAAGTTCCATTCTTTTCCTAGTCAGAATCTAGTCACTTTAGCATTCTGGCTCTTGTGCACTAGCACAATGCTCCAATACTCCAAGGTTACGTTTAAACCCAAATGAAAGCTCGTTTCATTGAAAGTCAATAGAAAATTTCCTAGTAATCCTAGTTGCTTTTACAGAAGAGAAATTTTGGACATAAACTTTTGTGAGGATATGCCTTTAATATGTATGTTCTCCCGATATGCATCAGGTAGCAAATACATTGTACAAGCATTGCTCATGTTGGTGAGAACCCATTCTATTACTCCTGATTGCAGTGGGATGACTGGATGCAGGAGTCCCCCAGTGTAAGTTAGAGTTGGGCCATCTAGCCCGGTACTAGTAGTATCTTTAACAAGGGCACCGTGTAATCATTCTTCCTTCCGTTTCATTTGTAAACGGGTGCTGCACAACACTGCTTCTCCCCCTCTTCCCCCCGCCCTTTAATTTCCTGGCAGTGGAGTGACAGAGAAAATGTCTCGATGTTCAGAATCCAGAGGACTTTGATGCTTTAGAAATCAGATCTGAACAATTAAGGTAGCAAAACTTCAGCATTTCCAGTTTACATGACATTAATGTTACATAATAGCAATTGAATGTAATTAGAGATGCCTTCCTACACTGAACTGCAGAATGTGCACAGTTTAGCTACTTTGTAACTCCTCAGCTAAAACTAAATACTTTTATTTTTCCTTTAAACTCCCATCTGGTACAAGGCTCCTGCATCTTGCAGTTGAAGTGGGCTGATGCTGAATCACTGTGGGTCTATCTTTTAATTATGGAATTGCTTTCATTTCCTTCCATTGTGTTTGATTCTTTCCAGCTTTAAAAGATTCCAGTAAGAGATCCATTAACAGCGACTGGAAAATTGAGCTTCCTGGTGAGTTTCAGATCGCAGGCACTACTGTCCGGTACGTGCGAAGGGGTCTATGGGAGAAAATGTCTGCCAAAGGACCAACTAAAATACCACTGCACTTGATGGTAACTTTATATCCTTTGTTTATGTTTCTTAAGTGATGCAACATAAAGGGTTTATATCCAAGCTCAAAGTTCAACTTCAACTATTTGCTTCCTCCCCAGGGTTTTAAGGAAAATCTATTGCTTCTCCCCCTGATTTCTTTTGCAGGGTTACAGGGGCAATGCTTACATCTCACTTAAGGTCTATTTTGTGTCAGCTTGCAATCTCCATAGAAGCGTCACACTGTGATGTACATTACATAATGAGACATAGACACTGGTACAGACCCAGTTTTCCAAGGGCCTCTGTGTTTTGTGCACATAACCATTTGCACATGTAAAAGGACGTTGGCTCAACTTCCTAGTTGACTCACCCCAGTGTATGTTTCTCTGTTTAAATGACCTTTTGCTCACACAGGTAATAAAAGATGCACATTTTGTGTATGTACAAAACACATGACCTGTGCAAATTTGGCACTATATTGATTTACACACACAAATCATCTTGAATTATATATTGAATAGACTGAGAACTGTTAAATGTCTTTGCTCTGGTTCAACATAGTCTTTCTATTTACACAGGATGTTATTTTATAAACACTGAAGCAATGTGAGTCAAGAGACCTCTTGGGTCAGGAGATTAAGAAGCTTTTCCCAGCGCTGTCACTGGCTCAGTGTGTAACTTTGGGCAAGTCCTGTAATCTCTCTCTGACTTAGTTTCTCCATCTATAAAACGGGGATAATAATACCCCTGCCTCCCATGGATGTTAATACGTGAATGTTTGCAAAGGGCTTTGCAATTCTGGGATAGAAGACACTATAAAAGCACAGCATAGTGTGAAGTATACACTGCTCCTCTAACTTCTATTTTCTGTCCACTTTGATTTTTCTAGGCACTGTTTCCTTTCTCTGTGACTTTCTTGCCAGGATCTGCCTGCCCCAGCCCTTCTTTCGACGCTGCTAAAAATCAAACGGCTCTCTGCTTTTCCTCACCTAAATTTGTAGGGCCCCTTTTTAATCTGCTTTGCGCTGCTCTAGTTTTCATTTTCATTGTCCTGTTTGAAAAGCTCAGAGCTACCATGAACTTTTCACAAAAAAGGTATAAGAATATTAACCCTTCCCTCTTCACATTGCTTTTCACATGCAGCTCTCAAAGTGCTTTACAAAGAAAGGGAAGTGTCGTTACTCCCATTTTAGGGAAGAGGTGTGGAGTGACTTGCATGGGTCACACAGCAGGCCAGTGGCAAAGCTGAACTGAGATTATTCCTCCGTATTCAAAAGGGCACATTTGGGGATTCCTGCAATTCCCTAATGTATTCATGAAACTCATGGTTTGTGCATGTAAAGCTAAACCTGTACAAAAGACTTGGGCCTATATTTTCTATTAGCGCTTTTTAAAAGTCAAATTTCCATGGTGACTTCTTCAACATTAAGAATGTCAGCTTCACAGTTTGGCTTAGATCCAGACTTTCCCCCCTGAAACCAAACCTCTTACAAAGTAGCCTGTATATTACTGAAGAACTGTCTGTCCTCAGGGCACCATATAAAATATGAATTTGCGTGAGCTCAGGTTTGTAAAAATGTTGTGTAAGATTCCTGTGCCTTTTGTGGCTAGATCTGACTATTCCCAGGTTTTCCTTGGTTGAGGCTCACAGCAGTAGATTCTGGTGCTGTCAATTTTGAAAACTTGAGCATTGCTGTGTATCTTTTTTTTTTTTTTTTTTTTTTTTTTTTTTTTTTAATGGAAACAAAAAAAACAGCCACCTCCCCGCAAATATCCAATAAAATCACAACAAAAAGGATTGTATTACTAGGAAGCTTCAATTCCAGCCTCACAGGGAGGTCTATTGAGTTCAGTTCTTGTGGAATTCCCGGTGCGGGAGTGTCAGGTGGAGGAGTTAGACATTCCCTCCATGCCGGACACCTTTGATGCAGCTAAGGACCTTATAGTGATGATGGCACAGGCACCAGCGCCGGCACCACAAAGAGGCACCGTGCCTTCTAAGGGCAAGCCAGTGATGATGCGGCACCGCTCCCCCTCCCCTCGGCACCGCTCCCCGGCACCATCTCGCTCCGCACCGCCTTGGTCACCGAGGTCAGAGTCCTTGTCGGACGCGGAGGCAGAGTCTTATGCCTCTCAGCGAAGCCAGCACCGCTCTCGGCACCGTTCTTGGCACCGCTTCAGACAAGAGGGGAAGGGCAGATATTGCCTATGATGCCGTGGCCACCCAGTGTCAGGCGCCGGCTCAGTGGCCCTTCTGGACCCGGTGGGCCTATCACCAAGCCCAAGGGTCGGGGTCCAGATCCTTGTCAGTGGTATCGGAGGCACAGGCCCCTCCATCATCATCACCTCCGCGAGGCCAAGAGATGGGCACACACGCCAGCACCGAGACCGCAGCGGGACACAGCACCGGGGCCGGCACCGAGACTGGCACAGGCCTGGAAGCCCGCACCGCTCCCAGCACCACGCAAGACGTGTCGGCACAGGGGGATCTCCACAGGCTGGAGAGTCAGGAAGATCCGGTCCTCCCACAGGCATCTTCCTCATCCTCCCCAGTGAGACCGTGGTGGGCACATCCACCACGCTGATGCCATGGACAACAGCCCACCAGGAGTTGCTCAGAAGGGTGCCTCAGAATTTGGGCATGCAGGCAGAGGTGTCGGAGGAGACCGACCCTACCGTCAACACTCTGGTGCCTGAAGGTCCCTCGAGGGTAGCTTTGCCCCTTATTAAGACCATCCATAACATTACTAATGTGTTGTGGCAAATGCCCACCTCTCTTCCCCCCCACAGCCAAAGGGGTGGAGAGGAAGTATTTTGTGCCTTCAAAAGGGTATGAGTACCTTTTCACTCACCCTCAGCCGGGAACTCTGTGGTGGCGGCTGCCAATGGAAAGGAAAGGACAGGACAACCGGGACTGACTCCTAAGTCCAAGGAGGCAAAGAAGCTGGATCTCTTCGGTAGGAAGGTTTATTCTCCCGTGAGGGCTCCAGCTTCACGTTGCCAACCGCCAAGCAGTCCTTAGCCGCTACAGTTTTAACCCTTGCAACGCGTTGTCCACATTCAAGGAGCTACCGCCGGCGGACTCCCTCTCAGAGTTTGCTGCTGTCCTCGAGGAAGGCAAGGTTGTTGCGAGGACCTCCTTACAGGCCTCCCTAGATTCGGCGGACTCGGCAACCCGCACTTTGTCAACAGCCATAGTCAACAGCTCCTTCTCATGGCTTCAGGTGTCGAGACTCCCGCACAGAATCCAGCAGACAATTCAAGACTTGCCTTTTGACTGCTTAGGGCTTTTCTAAGAGCAAACAGACTCTAAGCTCCACAGCCTTAAAGACTCACGGGCAACACTGAAGTCCCTGAGGCTTCATACACCAGCCCCCCAGAGGAAACATTTTAAGCCGCAGCCTACCCCTCGCATCTACCCTGCTCCCCCTAGACAGGATTGTGTATCACTATTCACAGACAATACAAAAGTGATGTTCTATATAAACAAATAGGCTGATGCTTGCTCCTCTCCCCTGTGCCAGGAAGCCCTCAAGCTGTGGGACTTCGGCATTGCCTGCTCGATACATCTGGAGGCATCGTATCTCCCAGGTTCCCAGAACGAACTGGCCGATCATCTCAGCAGGTCATTTCAGAACCACAAGTGGTCCCTCCGCCCGGATGTCGTGACCAACACTTTCCAAAGGTGGGGATTTCTGCAAATAGACCTGTTCACAACACGGCGCAACAGGAAGTGTCAGCAGTTCTGTTCCTTCCTGAATCACAGCCCAGGCTCACTCGCAGATGCCTTTCTCCTCCCTTGGAGCACCTGCTGTATGCATTCCTGCCCTTCCCGCTCATTCACAAGGTCTTGCTGAAGGTCCAAAGAGAGAGAGCATCAATGATGTTGATAGCACCAGTATGGCCACGTCAACACTGGTTCACCACGCTTCTAGACCTGTCGGTCGACACACCTATAACACTGCCCCGGTCCCGGACTTGATCACACAGGACCACAGCCACCTCCAACATCCCAATCTAGAGTCTCTCCACCTCACAGCATGGAAACTCTGTAGCTAAACCCCTTGGAGCTCGCATGCTCAGCCTCTGTTAGGAAGGTTCTCCTTGGCAGCAGGAAACCATCCGTTTGAGCCATTTATCTGGCTAAGTGGAAGAGATTCTCAACTTGGTCACTGCAAAAGGACACTCTGTCGTTACAGTCATCGATTCCTTTCATCCTGGACTATTTACTGCACCTAAAACAGGAAGGCCTGGCAGTGTCATCAAGAAAGGTGCACCTGGCCGCCATCTCGGCTTGCCATCCCGGTTCTGCTATTTGCTAACCCCATGGTTTGCCGCTTCCTCAAAAGACTAGATAGACTCTACCCTCAAGCAAGACAGCCGAGCCCCCCATGAGATTTTAACCTGGTGCTCTCAAAGCTGATGGGCCCTCCTTTTGAGCCCTCTCTCCTGCTCTCTCCTCTATCTTTCCTGGAAAGTGGCATTTTTAGTGGCTATAACTTCGGCCAAGAGAGTGTCTGAGCTTAAGGCCTTGACACCCGAGCCCCCTTATACTGTTTTTTATAAGAACGAGGTACAGTTGCGGCCACACCTGGCTTTCCTCCCAAAGATAGTTTTGCAATTCCACGTGACTCAGGACACTTTTCTTCGAGTGCTCTTCCCTAAGCCGCATGCTAGTAACCGGGAACGAATGCTCCACTCCCTGGATATCAGACAAGCGTTAGCTTTTTACATTGAGTGGACAAAGCTGTTTAGAAAATCAACACAACTCTTCATCACAATTGCTGAGCGACTGAAAGGGCTTCCAGTGTCATCCCAAAGGATCTCTTTATCGATCACGGCCTGTATCAGGACGTGCTACGACTGAGCAAAGATACCTGCCTCAGCATTAATAGCACACTCCACAAGAGCGCAGGCTTCCTCGGCAGCATTCCTGCTGCAGGTGCCCAGTCAAGACATCTGCAGGACAGCAACATGGCCATCAATCCACACCTTTATGTCGCACTATGCCATTACTCGGCAGGCTAGAAATGACTGCAGTCTGCAACTCAGTGAACTCCGACTCCTCCTAGGAACTGTTTGGGAGTCACCTACTTGGAATCGACATGAGCAAGCACTCAAAGAAGAAAAAGTGGCTACTTACCTTTTCATAACCGTTGTTCTTCGAGATGTGTTGCTCATATCCACCCGCCTCCCCTCTGTCGGAACATCTGGCAAGAAGGAACTGAAGAGGCGGTGGGTCGGCGGGGACCTATATACACAGCCATGAAGGCACGACTCCAGTGGGCCCCGACGGGTACCGCTAGGGGAAAAACCTTTCAACTACTGTGCACGTGGCACGCACACACCTACTTGGAATGGATAATGAGCAACACATCTCAAAGAACAACAGTGACGAAAGGTAGGTAACTGTTTTGTCTGGTTCCAAATGAGGTGTGTGGTTGACCGGTCAGTTCATAACTCTGGTGTCCGTAACTCTGAGGTTCTACTGTAATACAAACTGACTTTTCAGTCAGATATTAACAGGGGTGATTTTTTTCCTTTCTCTCCCGCTTCCCCAGATATGCTTTAAAGATGGGCGAGAGACCAGTATCGGACCATTAGAACAAATATGCAGCCCAAAGTCATTGGGAGAGTAATAAACAAAGCTCATTTAAAACATCACATAATTTATTTGAAACTCTTTTCTCAATTCAAATATTAATCTTTTCCCTGAAATAGGATAGTGGTTTTAATTCTTTCAACAACAAGAATGAAAAGGATGGTTACCAGTTACCTCTAAATAGAAAACTGTTGTCTAAACAACGGTGGAACACACATGACTGACAGAGAGCCAGAAGCCTCACTGAATCCATTGTGACTTGCATTTGAAATCAATTACACACACACACATGCATATTATATGTGGCTATGAAATTGGTTTCATATGGGCCCTTCGAGTCACTCATTTTGTTTCCATACTGAGATAATAAGGATCTCATTTAAGGAGCTGTTTTTTAATACTTGGGGCATTTCTCCAAATGTGTTACTGTAAGTATATTTCTTGGATAAATGAATGTTTGTGTAGCTAGGCCTATGCTAGACCGCCTCTTGGCAACAGAGGACAACCAAACACTCCCGGAGCACAGAGATGCTTTAAACATGACTGTTTCCGTAGTGCAATAGGATGGGCTGCTCATATCTCGCGTGCTTAAATAAAGTCAGAGCTGGACTTGAGTTCTCTGCTGACTGTTGCCTAATGTTTTGGATTCTGCAGAAAGCTTTGTAAACATGATGATCATGTGGTCCATAGCGGGCTTAACTTTGGCTTCAAGCTAAGAATAAAACATGCCTTATAGTGATAGACTTGAGTGCAATCTATTTACTTTACAAAGCGAAGGTTACGGGGTGACTTGATTACAGCCTATAAGGAGGAAGAAATATTTAATAATGGACTCTTCAATCTAGCAGAGAAAGGTCTAATATGACCTATGGCTAGAAATTGAAACTAGACAAATTCAGACTAGAAATAAGGTGTCATTTTTTAACAGTAAGAATAATTAATCATTGGAACAATTTACCAAGGGTCATGGCAGATTCTCCATCACCATTTTTAAAGGAACATTGGCTATTTTTCTAAAAGCTCTGCTGTAGGAATTATTGTGGGAAGTTCTGTGGCCTGTGCTGTACAGGAGGCCAGTCTAGATTATCACAATGGTCCCTTCTGGCCTGAGAATCTATGAAAAACAAAGTTTCCTCTGTAGCCAAAGCAAAAACTTCTCTTTGTTTCCCACTCCTCATGGAAGATACTTTTCTGTCCGGACTTGTTTACTGTGGAGATCAACTAAAAGGTGCAGCGTGCCTGCTGCCCTTACAGTGCTCATCTATAGGGAGTCAATTGCTGCAACTCAAATGAAACCAGGCAAAATTTTTCAGACCGTTTATTCACTGAAGTGCAGTTTTGAGTTGACTGAAACTATTAGCGAATTTGGGTCCAATTTAGCAAATAGTTTTGGCTGGAAAAAAATTTGACAAAAGTCAAAACATTTTGCTTCAATTTTATTAAAATGAAACTTTTCATTTTGAAATATAGTTGGATTTATTTTGGGGAAAAAAATTAAAAAAAAAGATAAAAAATGGAAAAAACAAACAAAAACAATTGTTTCAGGTCAACCTTCAATGAAATTTTGGGGAGATTTTTTGTTTCAGCTACTGAACCAAAATATCAATTATTCAGACAGCTCTAAACTCAAGTCCAGGCTTCGAGCACATGGACGATCATTTTATGCCCCATCCCAGGTCATGGGTGCTTATAAACCTTATTTGATTGGGGTTTTTAAGCGGGTTGAAAATGTGTTTCCAGAACAATGAAGAGTCAGAAAGGAGCGTACCTGTGGGTGCCTGCAGGGCCGGCTCCAGGCACCAGCTTGGCAAGCAGGTGCTTGGGGCAGCCACTCCGGAGGGGGGCGGCACATCCAGCTATTCGGCGGCAATTCGGCAGACGGTCCCTCACTCCCGCTCGGAGCGAAGG